AAGCTGACAGGCTAAGATTTAGCAAAGCTGAAGGAAAAACCTCCCCAAGAAGGACAAAGTGAGCAGTGCAGATTGATTTTCATGTCTATCTTTTTTTTTTTTTTTAAATAAACTGTAACATATTTCACTGTTAAGTGTGTTTTATTAATACCGAAGAGTTTAAAACCCCTTTTTGTTGTCTTCAGTGTACCCATCTTAAAAGAAAAGTGCAGGTCAGGCCATCTGAAAGCTCTAGCCATCTTGAGGTCTCATCACTTGGCTATCTGGACTTGGTTTGCGGGAAGATTTCTTGTTTATCATAGTACAGTTGAGTGAGTTACCTGTGTCTGCAGCAGGGAATAACTTCAGTGATACGCTATCATTTAATTCCTGAAGTGCTGAAGAATGATACATTTGTTGTGGAAAATAAATGACATGATTGTTGACTGGGTAATTTATAACATTAAGCTGTACGTTTTTCCTGGTCTAGAAACACATTTGTGTTGCAGCTCATTTAATTCGTCCTATGTTTGAGTGAATGCAAATTCAGGGATGATCTTAAGGGAAGAAGTATTTCTAATAGAATTCAAGGTTTAGTACATTGGAGAGGACTTCCTTTACCAGACCATAATTCAGCTGACGGTGACTGCTCTATTGTAAAGTATTGATGTCTTGGGATAATGTTTTAGCAAAGTAAGGGAAATAGAGGCAATTGGGAATCCAGCTCTGAGTCACTAGCATCATTTAATACTCATACCTGCATATTCTAGGAACAGCAACCATCACTCATGAAATTAGTTACCCAAATGAAGCAGGTAATTGATGAGCTGTTAACTTAAGGATGGCTGGAGCTCTTTTTGGTCATCAGTGAAAAGACATTCCTTGGGAAAAGAACTGTCATCAGGGTAATAATTTGAAACCATTTAGTGAGTATAGGATGAAATCAGGCTTCTAGGTTCCACTCATCCCTTTTTATTTCACCTGCATTTTTCCTCCTTTCTGCTGCTTCTCTCATTTTCCCACAAAGAAAACTTTTCAATCTTGTATTTGCACCAGGGAGTCTTGATGTTATAGACTGACTACCAGGCATTTGCTGTCAGGTGCTGTACAACGAGTAGCAAATGAAAATTTTAAGGGAATAAAGACAGAGTTGACTTAGTCTTAAAATGAATTCATCATTGATTTGGAGATGTGCATCTCATTTCCTTTTACCCACCCCTGTGAAATCATTGAAATGTCATTCACTCTCCCTCATTGGTAACAAATTTTGTTAGTACTATTAAACAAAGTTCAGCATTATTTTTAAATCAACTTTTGCTGGATCTTAGGGTAAGGCTGAATATAAATAATGAAAAGGAGAGATTTTTTTAATTGGACTGTTGAACAAGAAACCCTTTGTGAAGGACTTCAAGGAGTATTAGAGAGTTCTTCAGTAATAGGTAAAAGCAGTTGTTAGTAAATTTAATTTAAATTTTAAAAAGGTTTTTGCACAATGAATTTATCTGTTTCCCAGAGAACTGTAACAAGGAAAATAGTAGTCAAATGTTACAGATTCCAAATTGGGTACTAAGGAGAGCAGAAGAAACAAAACACTGAAAAAAATTGACTGTACTTGTCTGGTGTTCTGCTGAATACATCTTAATGTTTGATAGGTAATGCATCCAGGCATGCAGATGTGGTAGGTTACTTAACAAGAGCTAATGCACAGCATAGTTACGTTAAAGGAAGTTGGGGAATATTATAGAATGTTGAACAGCTCTGTTACTTTTTTTAAATTACTCTGCTTTTAGCAATATATTTGTATCAGAATCTAAAAGTGATCTAAATGAAAAACTGTGTGTCAATATCGTTATCTTAGTAAGTTTATAGTGGGAGAGTTCTAGTGACCACCTAAGTCGGTCTTTTTTCCCCAGATATCAAGGGCAAAGATTTTTCTTTTGACACTCACTAACATTTCCTTGCCTGCTATTTAAGTGAGATATTTCTGGTGTCAAAAATTGCCTGCGAAGAAAAAGGGGAAAAATGTTACTGTAAAGTGTTTTGAAGACTATTGTTATGTCCATCCGTCTGTCGTGTGTTGTCGTCCTCCCTGCCAAGGTTAAACAAGGTTTTTAGATTACTGGCCTCTGGAGTCCATCTAGCCTGTTTCTTAAAGCCTAGTGCTGAGCACAGTGCTGTTGCGGAGCCTGTGCCCATGCTGCAGAGTGGGGGACGGCATCCTGCCTCCTACAGCCCTGCTGCTCCCAATGCTGCCAAGGCCTTGAGCACGGTGGGGGGGCTGTGGCTGTGTCCTCAGTGTCACAGGTGGGTCAGCAACAAGAGTGATACTACAAATGAGAATGGTATTGATTAGAGTGCTTGACTCGAATTCAGGCAGACTCACCTGCCTAGTTTATTTTCATCTATTGGCTTGAGGGACATGTATAGATCCTGTTGTCTTGGGTTTTTTACGAGCTTGTGTTAACAAATGCATGAGGTCTTTAGCCTGAAATTAATGTACATCTTGGAGCTTAAAGTGAAATGGGCGAAATGCTCCTGAGAAAGAAGCTAACGAAAAAATACATAATTTATTCTCAACAAAAATACTGTGTCACCTTTTCCTTGAAAGTTTTTTTTGCAGAATAATAGCATTTGTGCCACCTTCAGCCATCCCCATTAAAAATTGATTTGAACATGACCAACTCAGTTCTATATGAAGTCCGAGTTCATACTGAGGTAACAGTATAAAGCAATTTGTGACTGCTCTGGGTGAACGTAGGCATGGGCACTGAGAGCTTTTATGTCCTGTGCTAACACCACCCTTCGCTGCTTTCCTCATGGTGTTGGGAAAGACAAAACTGCAGTATTGATCTACAGAAGGGGCAAGAGTCTGGTGCAGGTGTCATTGATAAAAATGGAAGAATAGCAACAGCACACAGGAACTGCTTGCCTAGGGGACCGTGAAAGTAATACAAAATAGACTGTCCTTCAGGACAGTCCTTCGGGGCTGCAGGAGACATCACAGGACTGGGACCTTGAGAGAAATTTCCTCTGTTCAAATCTGGGCAGGATGTGCCATTTGAGTAGAATTCTGATCTAAGAGTTCTGAATCTGCTGATGAGAATATGAACATTTTAAAAAACAAAAGATTGGGCAGAAAATTTTTCTTCAACACCTTGAAAAAGTTAAATGAAAATGCTTATGTTAGAAGGCCAGTAATAAATAGTGTGGGTTTTTTCTCTTACACTGGTTCTTTTGAAAGTCAGAGCAGGATTGTTTACAAATTATCCTGCTGTACCATTCACAGTAGTAAGTATAAATTTGTAGGTTTTGTGGGATTATGTTCAGGATGTCTCTATATCCACAGCTAAGAAATAGAAAGTGAAAGATTTGTAACTGAGAATTTTCTACTTCTGGTGAACAAAGACAAAAGCGCGTATGAGTAACACAGGTACTGGAGACGAGTGCTGGCATCAAGACAATTGTCAGTGCTGGTGCTATGTCATTTTTATATTTGGCAGTTAGGCAAATTGTGTTGACTTAATATCAATGTAGTTACGTTCCAGGAAGAATTTGAGCATGGTGCATTTTGGGATTGAGGTTTATAGTCCTAGCTCTCTGGCGCACATGATTCCTCTCTAGCCAGTAGCTGCTTCTCACCAGTGAAAGGGCAACTGAAATAAATGGAAGTGTATTTTGTGGTTAACTGTTTCTAATTTTTTATTGCTTCAGGATATTAATTTCTGCTTAGTTCTGTGTTCATACTTCTTGTTAATCAGACAACATAATAGATTAATATACAGGACTACCGTGGCTGCTGAGAAAACATCTGTACTGCTGGCACTTTTGCTGAGAATGGCATTGATACTATATGTACTGCAGCTTAGTCCCTGGAAACAATCCTTCATTAGGTAAAAGGCAGATTGGCACAGATACTACAGTCTTCCTTGCATGTTGCCTCTATTTGATAATTTTGTATAAGACTTTGACACCCTTGAAAGCATCTTTTTCATGACACCCAGTCATCTTTTTCAACTTGTACTTGTCTGCGTATTTCCTTTCCATAGGTTTTTTCCTATTAATTTTTTTAACGCTACTGTTACAAGAATAGAAAATGTTCAAATGACAAGAAACATAAACGAATGAATTGTCTTTAGAGTTATATGGTGAAGGAAAAGTGTAATGAAATCTGATGAGATGCTTAAGGTCTTTTCCAGTAATACCTTCCATGAACACTTTATAGTAGGTCTCCTTGTCCTAGTTTTATTTCTGTAGAGTGCCAGTAAGAATGTTTTAGGTTAGAATTTGATTTTGTTTAATTTCATGTTTCTAACTTGTTTTTAAAAAAAACAACACAAACAACTCCCCAATGACATACAAGCCTACGTAACTGCAGATACAGTATATAGTAAAAGAAAGTTCTTTCTGATCTTCCCTAGCTGTGGATACTTGACTTGGCAATCAAATCTAGGAAAAAATTTAGGATCAGTCTATACCAGAAGGAGGAAAAAACCCAAACCTCTGTGGAATAAAAGTATGTACAAAGGGAGTTAGTGCAGAATAAGTTATTGCATTTTCAATTCTCACCCTCACTTTTGTTACACCAGCTTCCCTCTGTAGACAGGTTTAAGAGAAGTATAATTTTTTAAGGATGAAACTCAATTTTCAGAGAGGAATGGGATTTAACAGTACAACTATCATTATAGTTTGAGCTGCATGTAAAGATGTTGAGAGTTTTATGGCTTACATTGTTAATGCAGCTGTGTTTAAAATAAATGTCTTTTTATATTGTACTGCAACATCAGTTGTATATCATGTGGAACTAAGCTATTTTATCTTCTATTTAGCCATATACCTAGGAATCATTAAAAATAAGATTTTAAGCCGGATCATGTGACAGAATGTCAGCTAAATGCATTGTTGGTTATAAGGCTGCTTCATCAGGCTACTTTCTGGAAAAAAGGAACCTATGGATACAACTAGTTTATGCACTGTCTCTCCTGCCTTTTCACTTGTATTTTTATTCTTCTTTTCTCCAACAGAAAGGAGAGCCAAACTGCAATATTCTTTCTCCAGAAACCACAGAGCAGCTGACCTTTGAGATTCCTCTGAATGATTCTGGGTCTGCTGGACTTGGTGTGAGCTTGAAAGGCAACAAATCTCGGGACACTGGAGCTGATCTTGGGATTTTCATCAAATCTGTTATTCACGGAGGTGCTGCTTTTAAGGTATGGAAGAAACACATTAGACAATGACTGCATTAGAATTCTGACATTTCTGTGCTGAGTACTGACTCTCACTTGGGAAGCATTCTAGGAACAAATACCTTTTTGTTATTCATTCATTTAGGTGAACGGCAAATCTACTAATGTTTTGTCTCAAGATTCTGGTATTGTGTGTGGTAGGTTTTGCCACAAGGAAAGTGAATTGGTGGAAACCTTTGGGGGGCATTTGGATGCTGCAGGAAACAGGGAAGGAGGAGAAGGCTAAGGGGGGTGTGGGTATGAGGAGAGGCTGCCTCCCAGCTTCCCCACAGCCCACAGAAGTGCATGGGAAAGTTTGCGAGCTGCTAGGCTCAGTGACAGAGAAGTTAGATACCTATATCTATTGTCTATCTGCACTGCTTTTGGTCCTCCCAAGGTAATACAGGCAGATCCCCAAAAAAGAAAACCCAAAAGACAAACTTCTTTACAAAAATTAGAAATTGACAATTCTGTAAGGTTAAGGATTACGTGTTTAATTTATGCTGTAAATAAAAAGCTAGCTCATTGTTTTCTTTCTTTTTTATTAAAAATATTTTTTTTACTGTTCTAATAAAAATGCGACTTGGCTGAGCCTGGCATCAATTGTGCAGAAGTTACCAATTGTTCCTGAGGTGGATTGAATGGGTAATATTAAATCAGTAAATGACAATATTATGAATTGTTCTGCCCCCTCTAAGGACTATACAAGGACTGTTGCACATTTTTATGAATAATAAATATTTGAATTATTTTCTAATCTTTAGGAAAACTGATGACTGCATTTTTTTTCACAAATAAAACTTGAAAAAGGTAACTTTCTTGAAATTAGAAACAAATGTCTTAATCTTTCAGGGCTAGTATGTTTAACTGTTGTGAATCCATAATGTAATTTTTTTCTCTTGTGTTATCTCAGCAATTCCTCACAGTTCTGTCTTCGGTAAAAATACCTTTTAATCTGGTGTATGTAAATTCCCCTACTGACATCAGCCTGCTGAGTAAGACAATTCACAGCATTAAAACTTTCATGATCATCTATTTGCAGCAGCTGGTAAATAGCAATAATCAAGGATTTAGCTTTGATGTGAAAGTTTAATACTTCTTGCTTCTATTATTTACCTGCCCTAGTCCCACAGTTATTTCAAAGCTCTCAACTATAACCAAGCCTGGTACACACAGTTCAGAACACTGTGTGTAGTTAACTCAGGCCTAAATGACAAGTGAGTAAACTCATCTACTTGAATCAGTTAAAGCATGATTGGCCAAATTAGGGCTGGATACATGCAATTTATGTTCATGTCTGCTGCAGAGTACAACTCATTTTACTGTGGAAATGAGGCTGCCCTTCTTGCTTTCCCAGTTCTATGTTCCCTGAGTAATTGTCCACACCAGCTGGGGTGACAGTATACATTGCCATGAAAAAACTCGTCGTTTTGAATAGCAAAGCTTGTGGAGCCATATTCCGGCAGCATTAGTGGGCTGGCTACCTGACTTAGACTCGTAGAATCATTAAGGTTGGAAAAGACCTTTGAGGTCATCAAGTCCTCCCTTCAGGGAAGTGATTGTGCCCCGGTGAGGCCGCATCTTGAACACCGTGTTCAGTTTTGGGCCCCTCACTACAAGAAGGACATGGAGGTGCTGGAGCGTGTCCAGAGAAGGGCAACGAAGCTGGTGAGGGGTCTGGAGAACAAGTCTCATGAGGAGCAGCTGAGGGAGCTGGGGTTGTTTAGCCTGGAGAAGAGGAGGCTGAGGGGAGACCTCATTGCTCGCTTACAACTACCTGAAAGGGGGTTGTGGCGACGAGGGTGTTGGTCTCTTCTCCCAAGTAACCAGCGATAGAATGGGAGGAAATAGCCTCAAGTTGTGCCAGGGGAGGTTTAGACTAGATATTAGGGAAAATATCTTCACTGAGAGAGTGGTCAAACATTGGAACAGGCTGCCTAGGGAGATGGTGGAGTCACCGTCACTGAGAAGTATTCAAAAAACGTGTGGACATGGCACTTCAGGGCATGGTGTATTGGGCATGGTGGTGTTGGGTTGATGGTTGGACTTGATGATCTTAGAGGTCGTTTCCAACCTTAATGATTCTGTGAAGTCCAACCATCAACCCAACACCACCACGCCCACTAAACCATGTCTCGAAGTGCCACATCTGACACATTTTTTTGAACACTTCCACTTTTTGACTTGTCACATCATAGACACCCAAGACAACCCTTTCTAGTTCCGTAGATGTTTACCACTCTATTCTCCCACAGTTACTCACTCCAGAGCAGCTAGTTATGCCTTGAGGGGTCTGCAGACTAATAAAGCAGGACTTCGGTGCTTACACCTAAGTAAATGGGCAACTGGCACACTTAGTCACCATGACTGGAAGATTATTTTGTCTTGTGATAACCAGTAGTCCTGTGACCTGTCCTCTATTCTACCTTGTTATAACCCTTTCACCAATTAGAACTGTGTAGTAATAGATTTGAGTGTAGGCTCCAGAGCAAATGAGATAGCTGAGGCTCTAGCTTCAACCTGAACTGTTCAGAGAGTCTTTCCTATGTGTTTTATACAAGTACTCAGAGAATGCAGTCATTTTGGCAATGTCTTAAGAACCACAGTTTACTGTTGCTTGTAAGAACAGCTGTTTTTCTCCTGTCTAATGACCTTTATATAGAACAAAACATAATCAGTGGGTATTACCAAATAATAAAATTTCTTGTATCAAGTTAAAAAGTGTGCACATATTTGTGCATAAATATTTAGAGACATCCTTGTTTTAAATGTCTTCTTGCTTTAAAGTTTTTAAATAAAAAGCTTTTTTTCCCAGCTGGTAGTTGTCCAGAGCATTTTCCCATGCTATTCATTGTGAATGTCTGAAACAGAGTATTATGGATTTAGACATGTGCATTTGCTTTTCAGTGTACAAAGTTTTCTTGGGAAACTATTGCAGGAGGAAATCATAATGCTCACTGACATGAGAATTCTCTCACTGTTTCTCACTTCTGCATTTAGTTTGAAATTTGTTCTGATTTTGTGATATAATGCTAATATAAGGATGAGCTTTATCCCCTTGTCTATACAGTCACCACTTGTCTTCAAAAAAAGACGTAATATGTTGCTCTTCAACACATTGAAGTAAATGCTCAGTCCTTCTAATGCTGTATAAAGGTTTTGATACATTAATGTTCTTCCACCAGGATGTTTTTTAGAGTGAAGAGTTACATATGAGATGCAGAGAATTTTGGTTGTTTACTGTTACCTGTTATTGGTCTGAACCAAAGGCCTGAAGAGGGGCCAACATTTTTTAGTGTTAGCACATTAGGATAGCTCTGATATGTTAGTGGCATTGCAAAGCACAGTAAGGAAGTTGTAAAAAAACATAAGGAAAATTGAAGTCTTTAAACTCTGTACTGCATGATTTTTTTGTCCTAGCTAAAGATTTTAGAAAATATCAATGCATCTTGCATCATACATGCTACAGTAAGACCCAGTCCCTATTTACTGCTCTTGCTACAAAACTAAACAAAGTAAAAATGCTGTAATGTTCTTAGTTGGTATTTTAACATTGCATCCTGCAGGAACAGAAACAGTTACTTTTGCTGATTGAACCATTATGTCCCTTCGTAACCTCCTTTTGTAATTTTTGAAGTGTCATGTTTTTATCATCCCTAAGATAAAGATGTTACTAGAACACTGGATATTTGTAATTATGGAGAGCCTTTCATGTGAGGAAAATTTAACATTTGAATGAGTGTAAATGCATCATCTTTCCCCATAACTTTAAGGATTTCAGCCTTGTTCATCTCAAGACATCTTTGCTTTTCACTTATCGCAGGTATTCCTGATGAGCAGGTACTTGTTGTCTGTTGCAGCTGAAACACAGAAGAGCTGTTGTTAGAAGTAGTGAAATACTTTCTATGTGTGCATTTGAACAAATCAAACGTGGTGTAGCTTGAACCTCCTTGGGACTTCTGAGTGCTGTTGCAGTAAACACTGCTTGTTGTGTGCAGTCGGTGGGGAAATTGGATGATTCCAATAAATGCCACCAAGGAATTCCTTCTGAGAGAAATGTCACTGATAAGAGAAATAACTAGGTATCTCTTGATTAAAAACAGAAGTCCATGAAGAACATGGCTTTATATTTCCCTGCTCTACTGTAAAACGCATGAGAGTCTTGTGACTGACTGTCTGAATATGGTAGCCATGTGGTGGTAGGTTCTACCCCTTGCTGTGAGTCTCTAAAAAAACCCAACATTTTTTGAATAAGCAAGGGAACAGTAACTTCACTCTTTATTAGAATAGCTTACTTGCTGTTTCAGAGATGGCATTTGAAAACACTTTTGCTGAAATGCCAAATGTTGTTTTTCTACTTGGAAGCAACAAAGAAACCTACCTTTCAGAGATGAAAGAAAAAAAAAAACAAAACCCATGTTAAAACAACATTTAGCTTATTTTGAGCCAAGCAGATTGTTTTGCAGTTCAGGCTTCTAAACCAGGCCATAACACCAGTGATGTGGAAAATCTGTGTTTGGAAACTGTTTAGGTATTGGGAATTTTGTTTCAGTCTTTAAAATACCAAAATTTTTTTTTCTGTGAAATAACTTATACCTGAGCAGCATACCTTGTGCAGGTGACTTAGCAAGTGTAGCTGATCAGCATTTATAAAGCATGTGCACCTTTTTTCTCTGATCACAGTTGAAGTGTTGAATTCAAGTTGAATTTTGCATTTAAGTGGAGCATGTAACAGAGTGGGAAGAAGGGAGGTGCATCAAAATAAGTTCTTTAAAAACTGACATTATTAAAATATAAAGAAATAAATACAACATCTCATACAGAAGTATTACAAGGCAAATGAAAAATCAGGCCAGTCCAGATCTTTCTGAGGCTGCAGTGATTCATGTAAAAATATGCGTTGTGTTCAGGACAGTTGCATAGTCAACAGATGTAATCATGACAAGATGCATTTGACAATGTACTTGTAAATACTTTAATAAGAAGCTTTTGTATTTACACATGATTATTTATCCACAGAAAGGAAAAAAGTAATCCAAGAACCTGTGGGACCATAGCGGGAGGACATTAGGACCTATAAAATTTTCAGTGTTATAGAAACTCACAACAAATAAAATCTTTTTTTCCTCAAACTCCCATTGCCATGAATGGCTCCATTCATTTCAGCAAGTTTTGATAGAACACAGAGGAATTACGTGATGTGCAAGTAATAAAACTCTGTATTCAACAATGTTAACTCTTCTCTCCCTAAACTTTAGCATGTGTGATGGCATCATTTTATATGTAGAGAAAGGGTGGGGATAAGCCGTTGACTTTAGCTGTATGTGAATTTATGTTGGCATGAAATATTCAGCAGAAAGTGGGTGAGGTTTCGGTATCTTTTCCAAATGACATCGCTGTTTCGTATCCTCCATTCCCATACCCTCCACAGCAAAGTTTTATTTCTCTTCGTTTTCTTGCACCGAGTGACTCATCTTCCAGTTTTGTCTTTCCATCTTCTTGTCCCTCCCAGTTTAATTTGGATTCTGGTATATGCTGTTCTTCATCTCCGTGGCTATTAATACTCTGCTGTGGTAATGATGATACCCAGTTCCAATGAAAATAACACTTAAGAAAGCTGGGTTTGTCACAGCTACTGTAACTCACTTGAACACAAATGGCTTAGACTTGGCAGCAATAGCCTAATAGTTAATTGAACATCTTAGTGATAGAAGAAATAAAAATTGAAAAGTATATATGTTTTGGATTACTCAGATGCATGAAATACGTAAACAGTTCGGACGAATGCCCTATGAAGAGCATGTAATAAGCCTGTGAATGAATCATATTCATTTTAACCAAGCAATGTATTTCTATACAAGTTCTTTCCCTGCTATTCTTTCTTCACTGCCCTTCTATATTGGATGTCTTCAGTTCTTACTCTTCCTTCTTTGAGGTCTGATGCCAACCTGGTAATTGTGAACTTGATGAGCTTTAAAGGAAACTGTTGTCTCTTAATTAAGTGGACCTTATTTTCTTGTTAAAGAGAGGAGAGTCCATGGCACATGCTTTTATGAAAAGAAATAAATCACGGATAATAATGACAACAGCAATAGGACTCCTAAATTGCAAAATAGCAGTGTCCACAATTTTATTACACCCACAGATGTCAGTTAACCTTGGCAATGAAACTTTTTTCAAAGCATAGGCTACTTAATATGCCTCAACCCTAATTTTGTTTATGGCAGCAGTGTTTGTTTAAAATACAGACATTCCACTAATTAAAATAAGGATCCTTAAATCTTAATGACCATTCTGAACTAAGAACATTACCCCATGTGGTGGCATGGCAATTGTGACAAGATAGACACTAGTGAGAGTATAAAACAAAATTTTTGGAGCTGTTTCTTATCAAACCCTAATAGCAGATAATAATGTATGGAAAATATGTTGCAGTACTTCTTCGTGGTTGCACTGCAGATACTAACAGCTATGGTGTGGGTCCTTTTAACTAACCAAAACCTCCTTTTCCTGTTTTCTTCCTACAACTGATACAAATTAAATTGTACATGCAAGATGACCAGCAGCGTCTACTCTGAATGTAGTAAAATGGAGGAAAAAATGGTCAATTAATGGACGCACAGGTTTTTTGGGGGTTTTTTTTGAAGACTTGGTACTATGCAGTGTTTTGTTCCTTAATTTTAGAAAGCAGTGTCTGTTTGTCTGTATCTTGCTTTTCTGTATGTAGCACCTCTGCCTAATAATTCTTTATTTTAAAAAAAATTTGTTTTTCTTTTTTGCTTCTAGGATGGTCGTTTGCGAGTAAATGATCAGCTTGTTGCAGTAAATGGGGAGTCTCTTCTGGGCAAGTCAAATCATGAGGCTATGGAAACACTGAGGCGCTCCATGTCCATGGAGGGGAACATTCGTGGGAGGATCCAGCTGGTAGTTGTCCGGAGACTGGAGGTGCAGACAGAGGTGAAGCAGTAAATGCATTTATTAGATAATGTTTTTTCAGCCCCAATGTTTTTGCATGCAAGAGATGATGGCTAAAGTCTTGGTCACAGAGAGCTCCTCCTGGCAGAATGGATTCTTCATTTCTTGGAGTCAGGATTCACACAGTGTTTCTGGTTGATACCTCCTGGTCTTGTTGTTCCTGTTGAGGCCAGGCTAAAAATTGCCTCTTATTTTAATTTGACAAGTATTAGAACAAAAGCACATGTGGTCCCAAAAATGTTAATTTAGCATTAATGTGTTGATGTGGTTTTGACTATCTGCTACCTCTTCAAGGCAATTTGAATTATTCTGATTTCATTTGTTGTCATGGTCAGAGACCTTAGTGTCTGAGTGTGACTTGGATTTTACTTGACTCTTGCTTTTTCATTAGCAGTATAATTCACTCCACCTTCTTTTTGTGTGTTTTTCTGGTCCTGTCCTGTCCCTCCACCTGGTTTTTTTTTGTTTGTTTGCTGGGGGTATTTTTGGAGTTTTTTTGCTTTTAATCTTCAAGAAATTAATATTTTACTTTCCCTGGTCAGATGAATGCCGGTGTTGAGGATGGGTTTCTGAGTTGATTAACATAAAATTTGCTTAAGTAAAATAACAAAATAAGAGAAGAAAGAAATTTTAACAGTTACGTTTTCTAGACCTCATATACATTGATATTTGCTAATGGCCCCTTGTTTTGAAAAGGGTTGGTTTTATGATCTCCCTTGATCCCTCTCTTCAGTGCATGCACATTATATGCACACTCT